GTCTTTGTCAGGCATTAGAAACTATAGTGATTCGTTGTGTTTCTAGGTTAACAATGAGCTCCTCTGCAGTCAAATCACAACCATCCATTATGGGTGGTAATGCTAGTGTACAAGGCTAATGTGCAAGGTAAGCTTTATGCTCTATTTGTCTTGGAGTAGTTTGTGACTGAAGGAGTAGAAAAGCGTGGTTTGGGTGTGTGTATGCTTGTGTGTGTGTGCTTGATGGGTATAAACCTTGCAGAATCCAGATGACACAGCCTGGGCCGTTATTTTCCCACAGTGCAATATAAATAGCTTGCTAGTGTGGGGTGACAGTGGGCAGGCTGGGGCGCTCAAGGGAGGATCCCATCCACACACAACAGCACATTCCTGTCCACCTGGCCTGTTCCAGAGACCGAGGTCACCTTACAGGATGTGTTAGAAGTCAAACACACACACGCACGCACGCACACACGCACACACACACACACACACACACACACACACACACACACACGTACACATGCCTCCTCCTTCATCCACTTCACACCTTTCCTTCATCACCTGTTTCCTCGCCTCTCTGCCAACTCCCCCTTCTCTCCTCATCAGATAGGGACCCCCTGGTCGAGGCCTCTGCCCCACATCACGCATGGTCACATCGGGTCCTCACGCTCGCCAACTCTCCACCTTTGACCTCTCAGGCACGCAATGACGCACACTCACACGCACACACACACTCACACTCACACACACTATCATGATTTTTTCACACCATCTTACACACAATAGACCTATAAATCAACTGATTACAACTTAAGGCTGAACATTAATGAACTGCATTGTGACAAAAAAAACACTGTTGTGGGACAGCATGCAAAACTAATGCTGTGAAATAACTTTTATGTCATCATTGGCTATTCTGCAACATGCATCTTTCTCTATTTTATTATAATAAAACAGCAACAACAACAAAATTGTGGGCATGTTTACACTCTTCAAAAAAGATCCCATGTCAAACCAAGTAAATGATTACATTGTTTTAGTGCTCACTTTAGTGCTTTTTAAGAATTATGCTTGCATTATCTACCCTGATGTTGACACATGGCTGATATAAATTCAAGTTCACACAGGAAAATGATTTACTGTGATTAAATACTCATAAAACAGTGTCTCTGTAAATAAGGCACTGTGTGGTTTCTCATCCTCAATGACCCCGCTGTAGTGGCCAAACTTTAGTGCTTGATGCTTGTGTCAACAAGATGTGAAACTAAACTGATCTGAATAGGATAGGATAGGATAATACTTTATTGATCCCCAGAGGGGAAATTTGGGCATTGCAGCAGCAAGACAGAGAAAGAAGTAATACAAAATTCACAGGATAGATAAGATAAATACAGATAGAAACAACAATAAGATGTATATACAAAATAATATAAATAGTTGAGTTGATCTAATGAGCGTCTTACGTCTTATATATTTGCTAGTTATCATGGTGAGGGACACGGAGCATGAACACCCCATCAACACAGCTCTTAGCTCTACTGATTTGATTCAGAGCTTAAATTATTAAATCTACAAGTCTTTTAGCCTGCAAAGAAGAATGGGGCACACATAACAAATATGTTATCTGTCTGTGGCAAGCTTCTTTTACAGCAGTCACAACAGGTCAGTAGAAATGAAGGTGATAATCAACCCTAAAAATACCCGTTAGCTTCCTGTCCCACAGATCTGCTTACACAGTAAAGTCCACATTAGATAGACGATGCTTCCTTCACAACATGTGCAAGCGTCTTGAGCAGGGCACATGGGGGCATCAGCACTTCACACCCAATGACTGCTGGGCATGCATACTCACCTCAGAGAAGCCAGCACCAGATGCCTGCAAGCCAACACTTAACAAAACCTGATATCAGTGAAGCATTCAAAAGCTGCATGTAAGGTTAAAAGTGCAAAATGGTGCTTAGAGAAAGATTAGATTTTAAAAGTCTCTGATGCCTTCAAAAAAAACCAGAAACCACTTAACAAGATCTGCCTTAGTAATGTGCAACTGTTTATGCTAGCAAATAAGGCCCTGCCATTACTAATTATAGAAAGGCATCGTATATACACTCGCCATCTCAGAATGTAAAGGCCATGTGACTACTGAAATGACAGACGCTGATTTGGTTTCCCATGGCTTTCAAGCTGGAGGATGGTGTGTTTATGGTTCAGGGGGGTGCACAATAATACACACACTCCCTCTAGTGTAATCAGTCATTACTATCTAACCCCTGAACGTGTTTTGCAGTATAAATCTACTAGCTGACAGGCGAGTCACTTTGACAGATGAGCTCCAAATCAGTGTGAAGAGTCCCAACAGTGATAAAATGCAATGTCTCCCACCAGCATGGCAGAGGGAGATGGCTCTGATCCAGGTCAAGCTTTATCACCACTCTGGTATACCTAACACACAGAATATTTGTGCAGTGGATCCAAAATATGCTGCATTAAAGCTTCTGTTAGTAGTTTTTAGCTGGCTGTAAACCAGAATTTCCCTCAGTGATTAATAAAGTATCTAAATAGAAAAAAATAGAAACAGACCATATGATATATTAAAGATCATAATACTGACCTCTATGTGCTGTTAAAAAAAAATGTAACCAAGACCATGGGTGACGAGATTGATTATTGCTACGTTATTTTAATGCTTGTGAACTACCATCTTGTAGGTGTCATACGAAATGACTGGTCATTGACATGTTGCTTTATATCTTGCTTTATACCAAAGATTCACAGTGAGTGACACATTTGAGTGTGTCCTCAGGGGCTGTCAGAATCGGCAAAGCAGCATTTCCCGACAGGAACTTTAAAGTCCATATAAAACACAATGATTTCATTTGGATTCTATGCTCCTCATTGAATAGATTTTTTATGGCTTTGTAAATGCTTTCAAAGATAACAAACTTGTTGTCATCTTAAACATTTGAAGTTTGAGTGGTGGATGAATTTAAGTGTGGTTCAAAGGGATTTAAAGCATCAGTGACACTTAGCTTTGTTTTCTAATGTTCTTTTTTATTATTTAAGACTGTTTCAGATTCATGTGGTAGCAGTCGTTCTTCAGCACAATGGCTAAGAGGAACTAATCAGCGTTTTCTGCTCATGAGGCATCCACGCCCTTTTTTACCCCATGTTTCCTGAAGTACAGAGGCCCACATCTGGAGTGACATCATAAGGAAAGCAGAACTGCAGAAAATGTGATCCTCTGCTGTGATTTATATTCCATTGCTATTGGCTCACATGATCAAGGCTTTGTCATGAAATAAGAGAGTTGTCAAAGTGTGGTTAAGTGTGGATCAATTTAAATTGATAGCCAAACTATTGTCAACAAAAACGGGGAAATATATCGGGTAGAACTATATGTTTTGGTGATAGATAAGAAGAAAAAGGAAGACGCAAGAAGTGGTAAATCAACAAAAACAGCATCTGACCAAATGACTGAACTGCATTTGTTGTGGAGCCAGCACCTGACCCCCAACCAAGCATGAAGGCGAGAGTTTGACATTGGCCACGGCAACCAAAGCTTTGTCAGTACGGACCCCTGAAGAGATCAATTTGCTCCCCCCGTTTCCAGGCCTTTCAGCAGGGTTGAATAGAGGACAGAGGGCCGGTCGCAGCAGCAGGAGGCTTGGCAGTGTTTCTCTAACGGGGTGTAAAGACAAACAAATCACAGGGATGAGACGAGGCCTTGTTATTGTGATGAGCCTGTGATTTACACCTGGATCATTCCAGCTGATAACAGATAATTAGTTTGGGATTACTCTAGAGTTTTGGTAAGATAGTGTGTCAGTCTGTGGATGATTGAAGAAATGTAAAGGGCAGTGTTGGGGTTCGCGTGTGTTTTAGACATTAGCACTAATAAAGAAAAACAAACTATTGCGTAATACATTTCCTCTGTTGAACAACAAGATAAAATCCTCTTGCTAAGTCTTAAACTTAAGAGATTCATTAGGTAATAATCGTTTCACAATCGTTTCACTTTCACACGTTAAAAAAGGTAAAATAAAATCCCAAATGGCTGATTTCAGCAGTTGAGGACAAGGGACCAGCATTTGCAGATTTTTTTTTTGCTGAAAAAACATTAAATAACCGTACTAGGTTTATTGCTGTAATACTTTTTTGCATATTTTTTTGTCAATCAGTAAAGAAGGTTAAATTATTTATTTTTTGTGGCCTACAGGTAGACTTAAAAAAAAAACCTATGTAAAACCAAAGTGATCCTAGCTCTGGTGATTGTGATTTTAATTAGATCAGTGGGATATACATATTGGTAACCTCTGAAAACGGCATTTATTTTGAAACTAAAGCCTAAACACTTTAGGTCTCGCCTTGAATTAGGCTGTTCTCCCACATAGGCTATTTTATGGTGCACAGCCTACTCTCAATATATATCACATTAGGCCTATGGGTAGGCTATTTTACATACAAAATCAGAAAAGGTTAAATGCTCAATACGTGGCTTTAAAGCTCACTGGGAGTCATTCTGCAACAACCTTTTTGGTTTTCGAAGTCAAGATTCACATGCCCATAAATTACCTGAAAACTCAACACTGGAGAACCTAAACACTTAATCTGGCCCAGAACAGTTATAGTAACGAACAAAAATAAGTAGAGTGGGTGTAAAAAGTCGTATCGGGAAAAAAAAACATGTAGCCTAGTTCACGGGAGGAGGAGAGAAAAAACAAATAATTGAACGGGTTAATTTTGAGTCATACCAAGCTCCGAGAAGTAGAAAAATGAAGAAAAAAAATTCCTCCGCCTAAGCGTCTGAGAGAAAAGAAAACGTAAACTTTTTGTGTGAATTTGTGTGGTGTTCAGGGTTGATTAAGCAGCCGTGGCAAGGAATACGATCTTTTAAAGCGACTAAAGAAACCATCAGTTTGATAACAGCTTTACAAAGTTTTTACTATCTTTTCAGCCGACCGATAGATCCGCGCTGACTTCAGCGGAAGGATATGTGTTTTTGTGTCTCCGCTCAGTGTGACTTCAGTGACTGCTGAGAGGAGAGGTGGAGGACTTTTCTATCGCCGTCTGTAACTTAGTTGAGGATAAATTAATGTGTATTTGAAGCGGTTTAATGGAACAACGCGTAGAACTCGTGAAATACGGCTGAAATGTTGTAGTTTGGCACTACAGAACTTTCCCTCTTAATTGTGTGTGACCCATTTTCAGCGAGACATTTTTGAGAACTAGCGAACTGCTTCAGGGGAGAACTCAACTTCGGTGCTGGCGACCTTATGTGGATTTTACAAAAAATATGGAGCAGTTTCCCGGTTTCTCCTCGGGCAGATCACTAGTCCTGGTCTTCTGCTTCATCCGACTCTCTTTGGGTAAGTTTTTTTTTATGTTTCTTTTTAACGATAAAGCCTCATCACGGTTCTTCCAAATTATTCATACCTCGTCATGATCACGTTTCGTCACCTCTGCATCTGCGGCGCACGGGGCGGACGTAGCATCTCTGCGCGTGCACTATCAAGGTGTGGAAACTCTAAAATGTTAAAATGAAATATCTAAATCTGAAGATGGACAGAGGATGTTCCCTTAGCTCGACAGATAATGTATACACAGAACTTACTGTGTATTTTACGCTGACAGTTTCATTAAACTTAGATGTTCTTCCACCTATAATACACGCTTGCAAACACAACATTTAAATATATTATACATACCTCATATGGTTTGAGTGTGTCACAGTAAAACTCACAGTTATTGACTTTCTTAGTTTGTATTTTGCTTTGTATTGTGACTAGTTTACTATTAAATGGCTTTGAATTTATGGGCCTTTATTTGTTTTACCTTTTTAATTAATGGCACTACAGGCTACTTGGTCTAGCCTATCTGAAATCGTATCTGTGTCTGATTCAGAGGGCTTTGGTCTGGTTAATATGGAAACTGTGGGCTTCTTCTGACTGTCACATCGCTGCCCAGATGTTGAGCAGCAGAACAAGAAAGAATTCAAAATGGACACCTACATTAACAAGACTGCTCTGACTGTAATGAAGGAGGGTGGATTTGGGGAGAACAAACTAACATCATCATTGTGGTTAAATGAGTTTCATGAGGAAACAAACACAGATTTTTCTTTACAAGATTGTATCTGCATACAACTTAAAAAAAATAAAAAAGAACTATCAATGATGATCAAGTTTTTTGAACTGCCCTGTTGTTCAGAATTTGTTGTCAGTGAAACAACTGCACATTCTGGGGATGCTCAAAATTGTGAAGGAAAGAGTGTTAAACTTCAATTGACAGTTTGGCATTAAATGAGGCACAGGAACTGTGCATATGTCCAAGAACTCTAGCACTAAATAGCACTGAATGCTATTTAAAAAAGCAGGTATAAAAACTGTTTGGCACCTGTCTTTAATTAAGCCCTTATTAGTTTCCACAGCCAATTATTGGGTCATTATGGTGACAGGAGATCAGGAAGTACTCTGAAGAAAGCATTGTTGTCTTGCATATAAAAAAAATGGAACTAGATTGGAGCACTGAGACTGATATACCTTAGTAGAATATTTATTACATCAAAAAGGCTTGATTGTCTGTGTGCACTGTTTGTTTTTCACGGAAGTCTGAAGTTATGAAACTTGCATTGCTTAAATAAGAGTGTTAACACTTATAAATATATGTATATGTATTTTCAAACTTTGTCTGATAGGCCTAATCACCGTCATTTGGTTATGCATGTGTATTTCTCCTTGAGTCTCACTGCATCAATGCATGTTTATTCCAAGTAAATAAGCATGCGTTATTGAATTGAATCCTATGTTAAAACATCTTTTGAAGTGTGTTTGGCATTGTTAACTACCACTGTCATAGACATTTTAATGTTTGTCTTTACCGTTGTAGAGACATTATATGTTTCTTTGGCTGCTCTTAGAAATGAGGCATAGTCTCAGAGTTGATAGATGCAGCTCTACTCTTCTTTCTCAAGTTTTTCATGGACCACAGGTGACTTGTGAACAGGAAAGTTACACAAAAGAAGTGAAAAGACAATGTGAAGTGCTGCAGGCAGTGCAAGGAGAGGCAGTGGAATGTTGTTGGTGTTTGACATTCCTCCCCCCTCTCTGTTCAGCCTCTCTATTAAACGCACACGCGCATGCACGCACTCACACTTTGTGCACCATGATTTTCTTTGCCTACTATGTGATAGTAGAGTATGTTGCGTGCAAGGCCAGAGTGTTTTTTTGTTTTTTTATTTGACAGGATGGCGCGGTAAAAGGTGTTGCTTACCTTGATGACACAGTGAGGTTTTACCCTAGCATAGTAGAGCTCCTGTAGCCTGCAGCAGGGTCTTTATTACTAATTCTTTAATATTTAAAAATGATTTTCCATAGTGCTTTACAGTATCGGGTAACAGGGTGCTATTTGCAACTGACATGAGAAAATGGCATGGCAACCAATTCTTGTCCTCTGCAACCTCTTTTAATGAGAGACAAATGGATGTTGTGCAGAACAGTTCAATATTCAATATTGAGAATTGTTGAATCCCTACTATAAAAAAAACATTGCAACAATGGTGATTATTAAGACAAGCAGTCAGATAAACCTGATTATTTAGAAAGCGCTTTTATAAATCTGAGTATAACAGACTGAAATATAAAAAGCTGCATAATTTGAATAGCAAAGTAATTATTATTCCCCATCAAGGACATCAACTTTACAAACAAAATATAGAAATCTTATGTAAGTATCAAGTTTGCTGTAATCCATGAAAACATTTATTTTTCTTGCATTAACTTTGGCAATGTCAAACACCTAATTATCACACACTGTTCATTTAGCGGATTTGTGTATCGATGCACTGCTGCAACCGCTTTTGTGAGTCAGATGAACAACAAACGTCCGGCGTGTCTGTTTAGCGAATATTTCTTCAGTTTTTTGGGCCCAACACAGCACTCTGTATCAGAGTTTGTTTGGCTTAATTACAGCTACAAACTGCAACATGGTGCAACTTTAGTAACTTACTGCGAGATGATTTCTTGTTCAAGGAAGCAGTAGGTTTCTATTAGCAGTATCTAAATCTGACACTTGAACAGGAAATAAAATGCTTTGCATCTCACAACTTGCCTGATCCACTTCAAGTAGATCAATATTACCATAATATTGACATTATATTGTCTGAAGTAGATGATTTGTCTGTTTTGTTCAGTGTTACTAAGCTCTAGATGGTAATTGGTGGTATGGCACATTCCTAAACAACATATCAGAGAGTACATTGGCATTCGTTTACACTTTTCATCCGTTTATTTTATACTTTCTGTTAAAAAAGGTTTGCTCAGTAATAATTTTAAAGATAGTCAGTAGCGTTTTTGTAAAAGAAATATAGACTTGCTCTCTGCCTGTATTTTGATATTTTTGTGTTTTGGTTGACACTGGGCATTTTTTGGCCAGGGAGCTGGTATGATTCACCCAGCCAATGACAGCACACAGGTGAGTTCAGGAATGGATACAATTCAGTGATTGGACAATATTCAAACCGGCGAATATGACGGACATGGGTGTAGCACTAAAGATGATAAAATATAATTATAGTGAGGCAAAATTCAGCTTTTCCAAGGGTGAACTTAGGGTTGCCTTTTCCACGCGAACACAGAGCCTCTTTAATGTTGGACAGGCATGTGCCAAGCCCCAGTGGTAAGCTTGTGCTAGTGTGCGGTAACTTGTAGTGTAGGAACAAGCAGTAAATGTACACACGGTCACACCAAGTCCTGCATTGAATGTGCGCTTTTGGGGGCAATGAGCCCAGGAGGAGGGGCCCAGTTTGAATGTTGTGTTTACAAGCTGCAACGAACAATGCTACTGGCTCTACCTTTAAGAGCTGTTGAAGACAATGAATCCCTCTCAGTGCTGCAGACCATTTGAATGTGAATCTGATTCTTGAGGAAGTGTGGGTGTCATCTTGGTGGCACACGACATCATAGTGTTACCCCTATGATGTGGGCATGTGGATGGTTGCATATATTTACCCTGTGCAAACAGCAGACTGCTGACATGCGTGTGTGTATGTATTTGTGTGTGGGTATTTATTGTATTGTGGATACAAACTGACAAAGGCTAGCGATTGTGCAGTCCGTGGTTTACTTGCATCTGACCCAAGCTGAAGCCTGGTGTGAAATGTGATTTATCTCCGCCATGCTTCACCCTGTGCACTGAAGACAAAGATATTTATTGAGCTGCCCACAACACTGCATTAGTTTCTGACCACCAGCTCTGCCCACTGCCGTGTGGCTGTTTTATTGATGTGGCCTTAGACATCTTCTCTGTGAGATTTTCCTTTTATTTCAATCTTTTCTCTTCTCATCTGCTCCATGCAGTCTCTGTGTTGTTCAATTTGTGCTGCTTCAGTGTGTTCATATTTCAGGTTATATTCTCTTCAGCCTGTTGAGTAGTATAGTTAAAAAATACCAGTGTGTTCTCCCATATGTTTATCTTCTTGTTGGTTGCCAAGGGATAGAAATAGTAAATAACGTGAACTGCTTGTCAGAGGGTGGCGTTTTGGGAGGCTGCAGTCCAGATGTAGTTGTCTGAATCTGGATGCACACATACAGTGCATGTGTGTCTGTATCTGAAGCCGTGTTGGTTTATGATTGATTTAAAGTTAAACTGTGATATAGCAGCTGAAGTTGACATGCATAGCAGACAAGTTGAGAGTCACTATTGACCTTTTAATTTCACAGTGCTAATAGATAGATAGATAGATAGATAGATAGATAGATAGATAGATACTTTATTGATCCCGAGGGAAATTCAAATTCAAATGCATCAGTAGGCATGCTTGACCAGTTTTCTCTTACTTGCTTTGATCCACAAGCATTAAATAAATACCAGTGAAAATGTGAATGAAGCGAGGTGCATGCCCTGCATGAACCATATGCACTGTTACTATAGGAGGGGGTGTTTGCGGCTGTGAAGGTCGAGGGGATTACAGAGCGCTGTGTATGCACTGTTGAACAGGTTAGCAAATTAACAGGGAATTACTGCAGCCTGCATTCCTTGGCCAACACAGCCCTGTAATCCTGGAGACATTCAGGCAGGGCGCATGAAGTAATGAAGCAAGCAGGTCACATTAGGCTGGAGAGGGGAGGAAAGTACTTTGTTAAGGACTTGCAGTATTAGTTAACTCTGGTTTAGCAACCCTGTTTAATTTCTTGCTATTATTTGGTCTCATTTAGTACTTGGAATTTAATATTAATTGAATATAACTTCACTGTTTTTTTTTTTTTTTTCATTTTTAATGTTTAGAAAATACTATAAATTGAAATTTGAAACAGAGCAGATTATAACCAAGACAAGCTTGAATACCTGGAAGATTTAAAGTAGAGCACAT